CTGCCGCCGCTGCTGCTGCAAAATGGAGCTGAACCGGAGACCCTGCCCTCCTCCCTCGCTGGATGCTCCGAAATGCAGCCCATGTGATCATTGCTAGGCCAGATTCTTAAAGGGACAGCAGCGCCCCAAACACGGGTCCCTCTCCGCAGCGCATTTTGGCAACTGCACAATCCGTTCAAGCGCGGTCCTGGGGCACCTGCTGGATGTGAAGTGTGTGTAGTTTCCCCTCGTCATTCCTGCCGGGCGTCTCCCCATGCCTCCCTTTGCTCAGGCATTTGCTTTATTATTATTTTATTAAATAACTGTATACATTCTATATCAATAGAATTTATATCCCTGTAACTATGAAATGTGTAGATTCTGTATTTTATATACTGATAAATATTTATATACATATTATATTGCGGGAATACCCAAAGGCTCTCCTATGGACCCCGTTGTGCTGGGCGCTGTAAGAACTGGCCCTGGCTCAGATAAGCCATTGTATGAGGCTAATATCAGATAAAGACTTATGCTGTGAATAGGTCCCGCCCATCCTCTGATTTCAGTGGGACTATGGATGGTGGGGTGACACCTACCATAAGCCGGTCTGCAGGATGGGGGCAAACACGCAAGTTCTACCCAGAAAGTGCTCTTTTATTTGCAAAATAAATGGTAGCCCTCTGCACTTTTTTTATATACAAACATGTGTGTTTGGGTTTGCCTGGTTCTCTTCCCCCCACCCCCATCACATAATGCAAACCATGGCTTATGTCTGTGTTGCTGGCATGAGTTCTACAGTTCTTCTCTTTTGCTTTTCACTCTTACATAGGAAACGATTGTGGCCACGATTTCTCTATTGTGTCCTGTCTTTTGTTTCAGCTAGACCAGACTAACAGGGCTGCATCTCTATCACTAGTCTATAGTCTGTGTTCTTGTTGGAACTGAATTATGCAGACGTGCTCTGATCCTGGCTCAGGCCTGAAGAGGAGTGAGCTGCCTTTATGTAGAAGCCAAAGGCTGCTTGGGACATGAGCCCTCTGCTGGGCTGCGTGCTGAGATGCACGTAGCTTTCCCCAATGCTGCTCAGGCAGACTGGTAGGTAGCATGTCATCCTCAATTCGCACTAGTTAGATGACTCACAAAATGGAGGGTCACACACACACACACACTATATATATATAAATGGAGGGCCACAACACACACACACACACACACACACACAGAGCCAATATATACATAATCCTTTAATAAGTAATGACCCACAAAACCAGTGTACAATAAATAATGAAAGGCAGCGTCTGGGTCAAGAACACGGGTGAATGTTTTAAGATGTTTTTGTAATACCATTTAGAAAAATGAGCTGTCTCTATTATTCCTTGCAATTGCTTAAATCATTCTCCTTCTCTGCTCCCCAACCTCCAGCTCCCTGAAAGATTGCAGGAAGGTAAGGGTATTGCTTCTGGGAATTTATGCAATACGGGAAGAGGGGGAGGAGCGTGCTGCAGTCAGTGACTGCACCCCAGATATTCTCACTTTCCCTGGTCTGCCAACCCCAAAACAGTAGAACCCTAGTCATGCTGCTGTTCTTGTACGGAGAGGATCTATGGTCTTTCTCGGGAGTGATGCTGTGGATGTACTCTTCTCCACTTTGGCGGGTTTCCCCTACACACTGAGAGGCAATGTTGGGCCCTCTCTTTGGATTTCAGGTATGTATAGGGCTTGCATGTTCACTAAAACTGCCCATGTGCATGTGTAACTCACTTGGAGTGTGTATATGTTGCACATGCACACACGAGTTTAAGCATTCATTTTTGGTTACACAGCATACTTTATAAAATGTGACCTGTGCCTTTTGTTCTCACTTAAGCATGGCCTCATACAATAGAGACTCAGAGTTATGAACACCAGAGTTATGAACTGACCAGTCAAACACATACCTCATTCAGATCCAGAAGTACATCTCAGGCAGCAGTAGAAACAAAATAAACAAAAAGCAAATACAATACAGCACTGCATTAAATGTAAACTTACAAAAAAAAAGTTAAGCAGCATTTTTCTTCTGCATTGTAAAGTTTCAAAGCTGTATTGTTAGTATTCAGTTGTAACCTTTTTGAAAGAGCTACCATAACTTTTTCTTCAGGGCTGCATACATTTCAGAGTTACAAAGAATGCTCATTCTCGAGGTATTTGTAATTCTCAGGTTCTACTGTATTTTATAATAATAATAATAATAATAAATAATAATAAATCTCAGGAAGAAAGGTATTGAAAAAATTAAGATGCTGGAATCGCACCCAACATTTTTTTTAATGCAATGCAAAGCAGTTAGGTCCAGATCCTCAAAAGGGTTAAGCTCCTAATTAACATTTAGGGCCGGCTCTAGATACCAGCAAATCAAGCACATGCTTGGGGCAGCACAATTCCAGGGGCGACATTTCCAGGTAAGCAGACATCCCCCGGCACTGCCCAGCCCCGCCCCGCCCTGCCAATTTAAAAGGGAGCTTGGCTCTGGTTGTGTGTCCCCGGGAGCTGGCTGCGGAGCGCGGCACAGCCAGGCTCTGCCCCCCCCCGGCGGCCTCCCCGGCGCGCTGTGCCCGCCCCGCCCTGTGCCCCTCTGGCTCCATCCCACCCCTTCCCCACACCGCCCCTGCACCCCGCACCCTGCTCCCCTGCACCCCAGCCCCTTTGTTCTCCCTGTTCCCTTCCTCCCTCTGGCTCTGCGCCACCCGTTCCCTGCGCTGCCCCTGCACCCCAGTCCCCACATCTCTCTGGCTCTGTGCCACCTCTGTGCCCTGCAGCCCCTTTTCCCTGCACTCCTCTGGGTCTGTGCCCCCCATTTCCTGCACTGCTCCTGGACCCCGATCCCTCTGCCCCTCCCGTTCCCTGCATCCCATTCCCTGTGCCTCCTCTGCACCCCGCACCCTGCGCCTCCCATTCCCTGTGCCACCCCTGTATGCCCACACTGTTCCTTGCACCCTTCTGGCTCTGTGCACCCCTGCACCCCAGTCCCCTTGCTCCCCCTGTTGCCCCTGCCCCTCTGGCTCTGTGCTGGCTCTGCTGCCCCGGTGGGTTGGGAGTGAGGGGTGCTTGTCCATAGGGCGGGGCTGGACAGGGCAGGGAAAAGGCTGTTGTGACCCAGCAGCAAGTGAAAGGGGAGAGGGAGTTTACTTGAAGTGCTTTTGCATTTATGGAAAAAAAATAATTAAGATTACATTTGCTATTTATAGGGCTAAAATGCCGGGACAACAAAAATGAAAACAAACAAACAAAACACTGCAAAGTGCAAACGT